GCCAAACAGTATTGAGCTGGTTAAAATATTTATTGAACAAATTTATAATTGTTGCCACTTCTGAAAAGACTACTCTGTAAAGAGCATCTAGAATAAGTTTGTTCCACTGTCATGTGCCAGATACTGTTCTAAACGTTTTCCATGTATTAACTCCTTTCATCCTCAGTGTACACCATGAGACAGGCACAGTTATTATTATTCCCATTTTACAGATGAAGGCACAGAGAAGTTAAGCCCAAGGCAAGATTTAAATTCTGGCAGTCTGCCTCCGAGTTCTTAAAAACTATGCTATACTGTCTCACTACTAAATAAGACCATGGTTTATCAACCTTATTAAAATTTAGACTCAGAAACTAAAAAGGTTCAGAATAGAAACCCAAAATGATATATTAGCTATATATGTATATTATATACCCTGTGTATTATATACACACTATGTATGTCAGATACAAAAATATATCAGAGTTTTAAACAAAATAAAGAGGCATCTATAGAACAAGCGCTCCTTTTGGTTATTTATATAGTAGCAGGTTTGATTCTCCTTCCCCCACAACCCTGTCATATTTTTTCTTGTTTTTAATTTTGGTACCATAAAACAAATACTTAGGAACACTCTAAATTCAGGTAACTGGATCAGTTAATACTGAATAAACAGTATACATCTGAAAAGTTTTCAAAAAGTAATAGCATTGTACTTCACTTCTAATCATATTCTTGTTGCATAAATATATACAATATAAAGATACTATGATATGAAACCAAAATTTTCCATCGTCTACAGTAACTTCACAGTTTTAGATTCTGAAACCAAGCTAATAAAAGTTGAGCTGTGAGTCTAGTAGCTACTTAATTGACACCTAAGCTACAAAGCAGTGGTGCTGAAATCAGCTGGGAGGCAATTATCTGCTACTGTATAAATACAGATCATAATGAGGGCAAATAAATGGAGAGAAACGAGACTTGCTTTTAAAAAAAAAATCCAAACACACATATACATTTCTTTTAAACATGTGATTTATAAAGTAAGGAGAGTATTTTATCATATCTGCTCTTTTAAGTTTCTTTCCCAGAGTTCAACTTTCCTCACAGAAGAATTCAACTAATGATGGCATAAAATTTTATCGGCGAGTCTGTTGAACAAGTTGGCATATTTCCCTTTTCTCTAAGATTGACTTTTATCAGAGCCGAAGAAACAAAAGTAAAATTAGAAGCCTGTCATAATATGAATCATTATTAACACAGATTCAGAAATAACCCAGAAGTCCCCAAAGCTGTTACTACATCCAGTAAAAGCACTGTTACATAATTAACCCCTGTTCACTGAAAAAGTGGTTGCAACGGATGTGAAATCCTGTTAATTTATATAGATGAGTGCTTAAAATGAAACAGAAATTAGATTTTTGTTTAAAATTATAGTTTTGACTCAGGGCAGAAATGTCTAACGGCTTTGGAATATAAACCTAAGTAGATGAAAATACATCACTGATATACATTTAAAAAAAAAAAAACAAAAACTAATCAGCGTGTGTGTGTGTATGCTCATTACTTCTTATTAAAGTTTTGACTCAAACAAGAAACTAAAAAGGTTCAGGATAGAAGCACAGAAAGTGTATATGTACATAATAAACGATGAATAATTAATAATGCAAAAATCTAATTTTATCCTATAGTTTCAATACTCTCCCCCACCAAAATTTTCCCAGAACTGTGGGCAAGTAGCTAAACTGACTAATTTGAGTTTTACTTTCTTCCTCTGCCCAATTACTCCCACAAAATGTGCCACAGTATAAAACGTTGAAGATGTAACCTCAAATTAAAAAACTGTTGTGAGAATTAAATGAGTTAATATTCATTAGGTGCCTAGCACAGCATCTGGCACAGTCAATAAATGACAGTACTATTGTAATTATCTGCTAATATTAATAGCACTTTCATTTGGTAACATTTCTACACAATAACCTCTCAAACGATACAAAATTCTTAACATTTTACAGAATTTGCACCCATTCAAATATACCTGGATATCTGTAAAATTTGAGTAAGGACACAATAAATTGTAGTGGTTAATCCAACTAATATATGTGGATATAATTACACTAATTAATAACTGTGAAAATAAAAATCTTTTAGAAAATTGTGTCTACCCTCTAAGTTCAGCTCAAAAAAAAAAAAAAAAGATGTGGTACACAAACATTCCTGTAACTCATTAGTTCAACTAATTTTTTTTAAATTATTGAAATTTTTAATTTGTTTTACCTAAAGTTGCTATTTTTAGTGTACCCTTAACTCCTCTCCCAACTTTCAGAGGTATATTTTGGATCCACTATTCTGGAATTTGATTAAAACTTTCACCCTATCTATATCTATGAGATATATGTGGATATATATGGAGCCCTGGTGGTGTAATGGTTAAGAGCTCAGGCTGCCAACCAAAACGTATGTGGTTCAAATCCAGCCACTCCTTGGAAACCCTACAGGGCAGTCCTACTCTGTCATACAGTGTCGCTATGAGTCGGAATTGACTTGATGACACACAACATCATCTATGATAAAAATATAAAATGTTTCTCTAGCCAATACACACGAGGTCCCTAGAATTCAAGAATAAGATTTAAAAAAAAAATTATAGTAGAAATAACAGAATTATTATTAAACGGATGATATTTTTCCACAAAATAAGCCTAAAAGATAATTAGTTAATAAGATATGTGATGGTAATGTGGTCCCATTTCTTAAATATTCACCATGGGAAACTAATGCATCTTTGAAGTCTTCATCGAAGAGATTAAACTGTTATCTCTAAAACATGGTGACGTACAGCAAAATGAAGACTCATTTTGCTCTGTTTCATGGAAAAGGACGTGATAGCTAGTTGACGTATGTATCCAGGTCCCTTAAAAAGTATTCTCGATAAAAAGAAGGGTAATTTTTAAGCTTCTACTACAAACTTGAAGAAATATCACTCAAGACTTTACAAGTTCCTTTTAATTTCATGCTTACTACACAACTTTCTACTCATTAACTTGGTTTCTCAAATTCTTAGATACAGTAAAGAGTTCACTGGATTTTTAACCTGAAAATTCTGATCACTGGAAACGGATCTAGTCCAACGTAAACCGGCATCCTAATGTTTACATAATTCTCGTTAGTTTAGTGTGAATTGGGTTCCTGAACTCTGAGCATACATGAGTAAAAGTATAAACTTGAGCTTCTTAGACTGGAAATTTGAGAACCAGAAACTCCTCACTGAAAACTGCCACAAACATCTCTTGGTCTTCACTTCCCCCTTTCCACCCTGTCCTGAAAATGAAATGGTCTACTGATACACGCTAGCCAAATCAAATGTAGGCAGATTCATTTAAACACCAAAATGACTAATCAAAAACAAAATAACAGCCTGAAATTTAAACCAAAACGTAAGGATGCATGTTTACACAAGCTTCATTTACATTACTACTCTATTACCAAAAGAAAAAAAACAAAAAACCTACGATATTCAAATTGTGCTTTAAGGGCAATATCCAAAATTATTTTTGAACTTGCATCGGCCGGGAACATTATTTATGAAGTGGTCTAGCATATATGATTCAATTATTTCAAGACTTAAAAAAATACTTAAGAGGCATCCCATCTGGTACTGAGCAGGGTAGGAACACTTGCATTCGAAGTGCATAAATTTCGTACTTCAAATGATAACTCAGACTTTTCCCACTGTGTCATTCAAAAGTAATTATGTTATTCCTGAAAAAAAAAAAAAAAAAAAAAACTCTCTTCCACACTCCAGAGAATTCAGCTTCACATCCGACACTCCAGCTCTTTAGTTTCATTTACGAACTAAAACAAAGAAATGTCTACTATCAGCCCTAAATCCATATGGCAGAATTCTCTGCGGACCGTGATGTCAAGAACTTCAGCCGCAACTGAAATTGTCTTTGCAATCTCCGTCTCCAGGAGACTGAAAGGCTGGAGAGACACGCAAGGATCCTGCAGGGAGATCGGGGCAGCGGAGGGAGGGGTACGGGGGAAAGGGCCAGCCCCACAGAGAACTGCATTGGCGGGGGAAGACTTTGAGAACGAAAACGAGAGGCGGTTAGCTATAGGGAAAAATAGATTTTTTTCCCCATATTATGTACGTTTCAAAAAGAACTTAAAGTGGTAGCAGTAAGGCAAAAAAAGTGACAGAAAACCATTAACCCTCCACGGCCCTACAGTAAGGGAAGTAGGATAGGC